CACACACTCTCACACACACTCTCACACACACTCTCACACACACTCTCACACACACTCACACACACTCGCTCACACACACACTCGCTCACACACACACACACACACTCACACACAGTTATAGAAAGTGACAGGAGGTTCACCATGGCTTCTGTGTCTGTAGCGGCTGCGGGGGCGAAGATGGTCTGTACCATGAACTTGTGTTTACTCTTCTCATTGGGGTCGTAATCAAACGGCTGCAGCATAACTGAGACATAAAGACAATTATCAACACACAAAACTGAACATGAGAGTACAAACATTTCTATAAACATGCATAATGTGACTTATCAGCACATAATTACACACAAAAAGTTTTACATAAGAATAAGAATATTTTAAATGCGATAATAGTAAAAACACATGAGACTGACCTGAGATGGTGAGCGTGGCCCCGGGCTCGATGATGCCGCTGTTCGGCCGTACGCAGTATCTGCGCGGCGCTGTGGTCTTCACTTTGAAACATACTTTCCTCTCTGACGGATTCTTGAGCTTCAGGTTAGCAGTGACGACATCTGTGAAAGGACCTGAGGAGGAGGAGAAGAAGAGGAGAACTTCACATTAGATCATCCACTTTCTGTTGCTCTGGGTAAAATCCTGGTCCACATAAAAACATTCAACACCAGAAGTATCTGGTTAAAACACTGTGAGAAGATCTGAAACCTCAGAGAAAACATAACATGATAATATGATGCATTCATGGAAGGGATGCACCGAAATTTCGCTCATGCTTAAAGTCCACAAAAATACAGCGCCGGCAGGACATTTCTGTGTAGTAAGCTTGTTAATAATAATAATAGCTTCGTAGGACTAGCCTATACACTATTTGGAAAATTAAACAAACAAACGAGAAAAAAAAAAAAAAACTTCTATCTGATTCTGTTGCACATAACCGAATAAAAACAATATATTGATATTTAATATTAATATATTTTATGTCCGATTTTATTGTGTTACTTTCAATAAAAGTGTGATTATTTTATTGGCTTGTATTTTTTAAATTCAGTATCATTGAAAAAAATATTTAGTTAAATTAAAAAGTCTTACAACATTACTTTATATTATTTAATAAAATATTACAAAGCATTTTCGGTTCCGGTTTTCAGAATTTTCATTTCAGTGCATCCCTAATTCATAGATTTTAAAATGACTTAAAGGACTGTTTATTCATAAAAACGTTTACAAACAAAAATTTCTTTTTTTTTCAATTGTTTGTGATGTTGCACATCAACGTGAAATCCAAACAGATCCTCTTTTCTTTAATTTATACTTCTTAACCCTGTAATTAATATATATATTTTTTTATTTTTTTTTATGGAACAGTCTAGTGAACCTTTAGGCAAAATCTAAAAAAAAAAAAAAAAAAGTCTGCATATGTGTTTGTTTTGTATCATATTTGGCTTGTATGGCTCATATAGGGAGAATATGAAGCTCACTGTTATTGAGAGACTCAAACTGAGCAAAAATATGAATTTTCTGCAGATGCTGGTATCTGCTGCTTGTAATGTAAATCAGTGAGATCTTTATAACAGTACAGCAGACACTACATCTCCAGTAGGGGTGTGCGATATTGACAAAAAATTATATCTCGATATTTTCTGGAATTTTATCGATAACAATAGTTAGACGATATTTTGCTGAGTGTGTTATTGTGCTGGTACCTTAAGGACTGCCGAAGACAGGGTGGACGTTTGTAGAATTATCAGCAGACTCTACAGGCTTGTGAAATAGGTTGAGAAAGACTGTGGTTGCCTTTCAAACCCATCACATGCAGACAAGGCCTTCAAGCTATAACTCGTGTGTCAAAGAAAGACAATACGCGAGAGACGACGAGATGCCAGCACTTCAAACAAAGGCAGAGATGAACAGATTCAAACACGTTCAGAGTCTCTCTGAAACAAACAAACACAAAAGACTCCACTGTATTTTAACCGCTCACAGTCGGCCGCCTTTATTGAATCACCTAACTGCTAAAGCACCATGAAAATCACAATTTACTGGCATTTCAAACAGCACTATTTTTGAGGGTCGTTTAAAGAGACTCGTATGACCGAGCGAACATCACACCATATACTCCCCACAATCCACCGGGAAACTCAACACAGCCATTCTGTGGCACAAGTGCAACCTTTATGCTTATATACCAATCAAGAAAACGAGCAACAAGAGCAAACTGTGGCCCTTGAGCTGTTCTGATTTCTTCTGTGCAAAACATACGGTATTAGAAGCTATGATCCATAAACGTGACGAACACGGAGGCTCGGAAAACGATGTTAAAGTTGACATGTGTGCTTGAAGGATACAACAGAGACCGTGTCAGAGCAGAATAAATGACATTAACCTGCAGTCTGGTGGATGACGCATGAACGTAATATGCAAGAAATAAAACAGGTTTGATTCAACCTCCTCAGTTTGTGAAATAATTAAGCAAAATAAAATTAATTAATTAAAATAATATTTATAATAAATAATATATATTATATTATTATTTATTATATATAATATATAATAAATAATTAATTTAAATATAATTAAATTAAATTCGGTTAAATTAAATTCATTAAAATGCTAAATAAAATAATTTATTTTATTTATAAAATAAAATAAAAAAA